ATTCCAGAAATTTTCTCATCGAGGTTTTGAATAATTTTCCTCTTAATCGTTGAATATTCGAAAAATTTATCGTCACATTATTTTTTTCTTTTTTTGAATTTTCTACCTTTTTCTCATTCAATTCATTATCTATAACTATCCAATTATCTTCACTCATTTTTCTGTATTTATTTTCCATATCTTTAGCCATTCTCCTTTTTTCCTGCATTGTTTTTAAATTTTGATTTATTTTAACTGATCTTGTAATATATTTGTGTCTAAAAAATGATTTAACTGAATTATTTCTCTGTTATTCAAATCATACGTGTACATTATATTATTTTTAAAAAAGTAATCATCTATAATTTTTATCCTGTTATCATGCGATTTCTCTAGTTTGATCGTTTTTAATAATAATTTTCTCCTAATCCTAGATCTAAAACACAAGTCCGTTGAAATTATTATTTTTTCCTTTTCGTCGGTCATTTTCGATCTTGTGGTCCAAAATTTATTAAGAATTAAATTTCTATCTTTAACCGATTCGGTCATAACCTTAATTACTTGATTATTTCTTCTATTTCCTATTTGAATAAGACCTTCGATATCTATACCATTAAGCTGTAAATTTTCTTTTATAAATTTTTTAAATTCTTCTGCATATTCCGAGGTTTTAAATGGAAAATTAAATATAATTAGATTCTTCTTAGTTCTATCGTTTAACATTTTATCAATTTCAAAATCCACCATACCTTTTAACTTACTGTACGAATCTGTTCTTTCTTCTAATAAACGTATTTTTTTACACATATCTTTTAACTCTTCCTTGAGCTTTAAATTTTCTTCGTTCATTTTGTTGATTTCAGCTTTCATGGAACGGATTTCGAAGTTCAAACTATCAAATTTGTCTTGGATTAATTCATAGAGCGATTTAAGTGAGTATTCAGGTTCAATAGTCTTTGTTAGTAAATCTTCTTCCGGTTCGAAAAAGTCTTTTATTGTAGCATACCTCGAGATATCAGTAGTATTCTTGGAATGTTCCTCAATTACGTATTCCTCTCCTGACATTTCGCTTGTCTGAGTATTTTCTTCTATATCTCTTGTATGCTCTCTACGTGGACTCCCTCGTCCCCTTTTTTGCAACTGCTTGACTTGGTTTTGGAGGAGATCGAGGAAAAGGTCCGGGATTTAACTCAATGCCAGCAATCATTAGTAAAATAAAACTTATTATTCGAGTTAATGAAACATTTAAACTACTTATTGCAGTTCTACACTTAATATTCTGTTGTAAAAATTCCATGTCTAACGTCGCCACAACAGCTCAGCAAAAAAAGTCCCAGACAGACAAATTAATAACAATTAAAACTTTGTTCAATGATGATTTACTTTTAATAGTTTACTTCCAATTTAATTATGTTTCCAGATGCATTCAAACCATGCTTTTATATTTATTATATTATAAATGTCACAGTATGTCCCAAACGTTGGTGATACCCACATAGGTTTAAAAAAAGCTAGGTCAACGAAATTTAGTGATACGTAAAATTTTTCAAACATTTTATTGGTCCTCGGGCTTAAAAAGGTTCAGAAACGATATATTAAACAATTAAAATAGATTGGATTGAGGGAATGAGGTAACATAAAGGCGATTTGCTAAGGAAGACGCCTTCCGTAAGAACATTCTATACGATATTTGCCCCTATTTGCGAAGAAAATGTAAAGAAAACCCGGAAAACGCCAAGCGAATGTCTAGTTGTTCACATGCAAACTGGCTACCAACTAGTTTTCAGAGATGTTTTATCCAGTCGACCACTGGAAAACACATTTGAAAAGCAGATATATCAATATTTATATTTATGTGTTCCAAATGTGTGAAATTTTCCGGGTATTCTTTATGTGTGTAACACATAAATTTCGTACAGGATGTCCTTCTGGATGGCATCCTCGTTGGCAGATATATAATAATTCGAAATCGCATATACAATAGCTTATATATGTGTATTATATAGGACTATATGCGCTCAACTTACTTGTGGTATTTTAAATAATCGAAGTAAGTTAGCCACTTGAATGGAAGTAACACTGGAAGCCGCTCCAAGTACTCCAGAAACGATTTTTTGTCGAATACTTGGGCTAGATCCATCGGGACATCGATATGTTCCTTCGTCTAAATTACTTATGTAACCTAAAAAAAGGAATAAGAAATAAGTAATTCTGATATTCAAAAGATTTAATTTATTTTTAAAATAGTTTTATACGCTTCTAAACTTTTTCAATGACAAAAACAAATTAAATTTTATTTGAATTCAAGGATCTTGTTATCTCAGATATTTTTCTATCAAGTAAAATATTAGCAATAATAAGATTTAGAAACAAATCACATAAATAAGCAAAAACTTCTTACATAAGTTTATAACGTTTTTTTAAAATACACATTAGAAAAATTTTATCTACATTTTAATTTTAACTATAAAAAAAATTATAATTCTTTAAAATCATATTACTTAGGATTAAGAGAATCCGACAGAATTTTATTGTTAAGTAAATTTAAGTTTTGTATTAAAAATAAAAGAAAAACTCCGGAACGTCGAACGGAGAAGAACAGATCAGAATATTCCATTCTAATCTGTGGTAGGGGTTGAACGGCGTCCATTTGTTCAGAAACATTTCTTTTTGAAATGTATACAAAACGAGCAATTGTGATTTATTGATTTATGAGCAATTTATTGTGATGTTGTCACAATGCCGGGCTGCAATTTTTAATTAATTTTTTAATTTATTTAATTTAAAAGATTTTCTTTCCACCTCAAATTAGTAGCGTCTTGCCCCTGTAGATCATACTTTTCCTGATAAAAACAGATCCGTGCCGGTCATCTATGTAACTCCATTTAGGAGAAAATTTTTGAATTGAAATCACGTGATTTCCGGTTTACACCGGAAGTTAAAATATAGTTAATCGGAGCCTTCCGTCTGTAAAGATTTCGACTTCCATCTATCTAACACCGTTCTTGAGATTAAGAAAGATTTAAGGAGGATAGAATGACAGACAGGCAATGAGAATTTACAGCTCTACAACTTTTTCAAATTGCAGTCCAATAACCCCTAATCAATTTCTATATTTTATGTTCCCGTCAATGGCCTTTTTTAAGAAATTTCACTAAATTGTCGTAGATAAAACAATATTTAAGAAATAATATTTGTTTTTATATTCATTTTCTTCTTGTTTAAAAATATATTTTTGCCAGAATATAGCTGTAATTAAATATTATTCAACAACACCATTAAATTAAAATGATAGTTGAAAATTGTAATTATACGGATATGAGATGGATGCTACCTATTGTGATGATGGATAATATTAGCGTCCGGACAATGTTATCAAGTCCTTATTTAGTTGAATAAACGTACAACGTTTATTATAATCAAAACAATTAGTTTTTATCATCATTTGTTAAACTTTTCATTAAAACGACTTACATAAAAGTTACGAAGAGAGTAATGTTAATCCTAAAATATACCATGATTAAATTGTCATTAAAATTTATTGTACAAGATTATCGACTATCAACCAGAAATTCCTTTTCCTAATTTAATAAAAAAAAAACTTAAATGTGTCTAACTTTATCTACAAATACATTTCCAGTTGAACATAACATTCCTTCTCATCAGTATATTATGATCTTGTATTTTATTTCTTATTTATAAAAATTAACAGAATACGTAGAAACTAATAGATGTATTTCTTGAAAAACATATTATATTCTAAAAAATAAAATAAAGATTAATTTAAGTATTTCCAATAAGTATCAAACTATCACTGAAATTTATATGGTAAGCAGAAAATAGATATAATATAGAATGTTTCTTTTATTGATATATTAATATTAATTCAATATTAATAGATTTGAAAATTAATTCAATTTTAATTGATATAAAATAATATTTCCTGTTATTATTTTTAAATCTTGATAATTAAGAACAGTGTTTTATCATCGATTAGGTAAAACATAAAATTCAAAATAATAATGAATTTTTAAAATATTTTTATGAATACACGAAAGCTTCGTGAAATGCATTACAAAATATTATGTAAAATTATCATATTGGAAATAAAAGAATAAAACATTTGGTATCTTTTTGTTATTCAACATTGTATTCTCTAAGAATATAATGAATTCTATAAACCCACTAGTGGCCGAGCGGATAAAACGACTAAACACTGATAAGGTCACGGGTTTGCACATAACTAATTGGCTAGACACGTGAAGGTTTTTGGGTTTTCTTCTCGTGTTTAACTCATAAATAGGGACTAGTTTACCCTTGGCAGATCTCCCACGTATTACGTTGCCTTATATAATCAATCAAATTCGTTCCAAAAATGGGCGTCAGCAAAAAATTTTCAGGAGGGAAAGCTTGGAGACAAATAATTAAATCAATAAATTTTTATTTAATTTTTGGTGTTTTTTAAGTCAGACAAGAAATTTTAAGACATAATGCGTCCCAAGGTCGACAGTATAAGGTTATGCATTTCAATTACTTTTACGATTATAATTTGGAAATATTTTACTTGATACTAGCGAAGGGCAAACGCGCCGTTTGTCCCCCTCCGCAGACGTCCATGATTGCAAATGATTGCTAGTCTACATGTAACAGCAACTAATATACAATTATTCTAATAGATGGTAAAATACTAGAGAAAATTTAAAATGTAAAATGTAAATTATAATTTTTCTGTTATTAGTTGTACTTTTTATTGCCTTTTATTGTCAGTATATTATTATTATCAAAATTTAATTGGTAAGTAGTTTTTATGAAAGAAAATATTTCTTTAATAAATGTTTCAAATCGATTGTCTTTAAGCGTAAGAAAATTGTTTAGGAGAGAACGAGATAAAAGATTATTGTGAAAACCTGATAGAAGAGGGTTTTTTAGTAACTTCTTACTGACAGAGAATGATATACTTTGTTATATCATTCTCTGTTATATACTTTACAATGTCATTATATATTTCTACGTATAATGCGAAACAAAAGATAAATCAAATGATCACGTCTGTTGCGTTTTCTTGTACAAACACTGATATAAATGATTTTAGAGATTGTTAGCAACACATAAATTTAAACCATTTTAAAATGATTGCACTCTAATGCATTTTTGACATTTGCAGTTTGAATGTAAAGAAAATCTTCGATCAAATATTATTCAATTCTAACTCATTATCAAATTTAATTACATAATGTATACAGAATGCCATAATTTATATAGAAGCCTATATAATCTGAATTAGATTTTCAAAGGTTAAAAAATTACTTAGATAATATACAGATACAAAAATATTTTGTTAGAACAATATAACACAAAATAAAGAAAAATTTTATTTCCAAAAGATAAATTTTTGCTATATTTTCTTTTAATTTTGATTCGCTTCCTGTGGGTTCTAAGAGGGTCTTTTTAATTATATTCATCGCAGGCTTTTTTTTATATCTACTTTCAGTCTGTGTGTACTAAGAGGATTTTTAGTAAGCCCATTACAGATTCGATAAGGTTCAGAAAAGAGCGGGTGGTGACAAACTAGACCTGATATATCCGAAAGGATCACCCCTCGAGAAATTCCTTGGATTAAGACTCGTACGAATTCGATTTCGGTCTTCCAGAGCAGTAGACTGCCACCTTACCGCTCGACCATCCAAACACTAATTTCTTTTACAGCAACATACCCGATCTTTACTTCACTCGACTAAGAGTTTAGAACACAGTACGACAAGAAGTAGACAGAGCACGCTGCAAGTTAAATAACTTTATGTTTATAAAATACTTAATGAACATAAAATAATTTTGAAATAATTTTTGATTAACTATTGAATAAAACATCTTTATTCTATAGTCACAAGTGTCTACCAGAGCACGTGTTCTGCAACATCTACATTGTGGTGACAACATACCGATTCGCATACATGGTTTAGTGCTTTGTTAAATAACTATTTTAGATAACTGTGTTCTAATTACTTTTTTTGCTTTTGACAAGCAATCTTCCCAGAGTCTTCTACATAAGTTGTCATCCCGAAAGAATTTTGTCCAAATTACTGCACTGTAATAGTAGTTAGCCTATTTCATTTACTACCAATTCACTAAACTAATATAACACAAAAATTTATTAGCATGTATATAAAGTATCTAAAAGTAATATCTACTCAAAAAAGATACTCATTAATGTCGAAGAATTAAAAAGCTAGTGTAGTTAATTAATAAAAATATAATAAGTCAGTTTTAAAAAGTATTGTTATTAATGATATGTTATAGTAAAAAAAGAAAATTTTCACAGTTATCATAGTTATATGTTTATAATAACAACGTTTATAACTTACGTTTGCAGTATAAAACACAGACTTCGCGACCAGAGATGTTTAATTCAACAGTTAATCAAACTTTATTATGTTCATTAGAATAGAATGTGTAATAAGTTCAACACCTTTAACATTTTGCTTAGGAATAATAGCGTCAAAGTTAAACATGTAATAACAGTCACGTGATAAAATGTAAACGTTTTTATAAATATAAACGTTGAAAATATATTTAATTTTCTGTTAAATGTCTCCAATTTGCTCTCATAAAAGTCCATAAAAATTCCCTTCCTAAGGAACTTGCAGTTAAATATGTGTACACAAAATAAGCATCTTGCATCTTAATTTTATGCTCATCCAATGTCATATCTAAATACCTTAATAACAATAAATAATGTTTTAAAAAAATTATAATTAAATTACTTATTTATATTCTATATATAGTTATATAGAGACATAATCAATAAACTTAAATATAGCTTATAATTCATGTTAAATTCTAAAAATAATAATTTGAACTATGTTAATTACCTTTTTATTAACCATGGCTCTCTAACATGAGCTAATCCATATAATAATTTACGTTTTTCGTGACTGGATCCTTCAATTAAGTAACGATTCCACATATAATTCCAATGTTCCTCCCTACCAATTTCTGACATTCCATAACGATAAATTAATGGACGGAGATTAATTGGCAATCTAAAATATATAAAGTGACATTATTGATGACATCTATGAGCCTCTCGTATGGTAATTGTACCTACTCTTCGCCACGAATCCATTCTTCAAAGCGTGAACTGGCTTCAGCTAGGCATTCTTTATACCCACTATAACATGCCAAACCCAAAATAATCGATTGCAGGAGGCTAATGATGATAAAATCTCATTGAAATCCTTAACTGTACTTATAATTAAGCATTAAGTATGTTAATTACCTTTCTGAATGAGTCGTTGTGTGATCCCATCCAAAGTGGGAGTATAGGGATTCAGTTAACTCTCGTACGTAACTCTACAAAACAAGTATTTTAAAATATTTTATATTTAATTGTCTTTTGAAGCAGATTAAAAAGAAAATAAACTACCTTACCCTTATTAATGGGTTAACATTTGTAAATTCCAATAAGCGGAACAAGGACATGAAAGCTTTAGAGGCTGTTTCCCACGGTACTGCATTATTTTCATTTTTTAAATAAAGAGCCATACTAAGTGGTATGTCATAATTTATATAGCCAGCTTCTGCTAATTCGAATGCATCGAACAATAAATTAGATCTATCAATAGCTCCAAAAACCTGATAAATAAATAAATAAAAATAGCGCTTATGAGTGATACAGAACAATGATTTTGTAATTAGAAAAGGTCATTGTCGTGGGAAGTTTTAGTGCATTGATCTGATTTAGATTAAATGTGGCTTTATAGTCGTGTTCCTTAACCTCTTTAAAGTATATTTAATTAATGAAAACACTATTTTCTATAAGTATAAAAGCATACAGTAGTATTGTTATCTTACTTCTGGATCTGTCCTTAGTGCTTCTACTAAGCTTTTCCATTGTTGATTATCGTAGTTAACAATATAATATCCAGTTTGATTAATGTTAAATTTAATCCATTCGGTGCCAAATAATGGAAGGTATATATTTTCTAAGAAATAAATAAATTATTTTAAAATAACAAAGTAAATATAATTAATAATTTAATAAGTTACATACGTTTAGATTGTGCCGATAACCATTTCATCCCTGATATTCTAGATGATGTTTCGTAACTTAGAGGAATGTGCCATAATTTTCTACGGAAAAACCCACTTATAAATGTTATAAAATATAAACTTTATTGATAATTTTTATAAATTAATAAATAACTTACTTCTGCATTGTCATATTTTTTTCATATTCGATATATTTGATCATATCCGGATTTTTTAGAAATCGATTTTGAGTAATTATAAGATTATTAGGATCTTCTGGATCTTTAGTCACATTTATACAAGGAAATCCAACTTCTTTCACCCAAGTGGACATAATTTCATGTACAGTTAGGTTTGTCTACGGTAATTTACCATTGATTAATTACAGGAAAAAAATATAAAATATAAAATTTTTAAAGTATAATTAAATAATTATTTCACAGTGTTGTATTTTGAATTAAAAAAATATTTTCATATAATTGCTTCAANCTATACCCGGGGCAACTTCGTCAATTTCTCTCTTCTTGTAAAGTTGTAATTATTTTAATTATTTTTATTTCCAAACTGATTTTAACCAGTTCTATAGTAAGGTAACATTCCAATAGACAATATGCAAAGCTTTTTTTTTCAGTTTACAGCAGTATTTATTACACAAAACTTAAGTAAAGCTTAACATGCCGATCTTGCCCCGGTCTCCCCTACACGCGTGATATACATTTATTAATTTTTATTTTTTTAAAGTTATATATAAAAATATCATGAAAAACATATAAAAATTGGAAATAACCTTAATAATTTTATAAAATAACCAAATAATAAATTATATTATGAAAGGATTTAATAAAAAAAAATGATCTACAGAGAATCAAAAATAATCCATAACAATAAATTCCACGAAGAAGGACAAAAAGCCAATTTGATATTTATCGTTCTCTAAGGTATACACAAATAAAACAAATAAGGAAAATGCCATTTCTAACTTTTTTATTTTCTCTCCTTAAAAGCTATAAACAAACTACTGACCTGTATTAATTCGTGCGCTTCTATGCTTTCCTGTAATAATCTGCTTATGTAATGCAACTGCTTTTTAGCAATGCTCCATGGAACAAGATGTTTCTCTTCTTTTAAATATGCTGTTAAATCTAATGCTAAACCATAAGGCATGTGACCAGCTCTAGNATAATTTAATGTTATATTATAAATTATTAAACATAGTTTTCTAGGCATCTAATGATAAATTATATAAATTAATGGAAAAAAATCAAGTCAAGATAGCTAGAGAAAGACATCCACTAGGCAAATTTAATTAAGTATAAAGAATAAAATATATTATTCTAGCTTTATTAAAGTGCTATTAAGTGATTTTTTTATGTTTCTTGTAAGATTTTAATGCAGAAATTAATGTAATTACTTTGCTGTATGATATATAATCAAAATATTCTGCTATTTCACGTGGGTGTCCAATATTCTGTATCACTGGATGAGAACTTTGTGTAGCATCAGTTATAAGTACTTTATGCACTTCTTCTAATAGAAACTGTTCCATCTGTTTATAAATTTAAAAAGTATTTTATCAACACATAAATAAGGTAAATATCAGATTATTACGATATAAAAACAACAACAGCGTATACATAAAGATAAGCATCCGTTCGTAGTGATATTTATGAACGAAATAATCATTTTATCGATAATTTACACAGAAAAGCACCCGTTTGTCCTGATATTTAGAAAGAAATGCACTAGTTTATCGATACTTATACGAAGAAAAGCATTAGTTGCCTATGATATTTACAAAGAAAAGTACTAGTTTCTTGTGATACTTATAAATATATACATTCATTTAAACAGAATTTTCAATGAAAATCATCATTAATTAATCAATAACAGTTTAATTTTAATATTAAAAAAGGACTTCTAACATGTACAAAGATAGATACGAATCTATCATTACACAAGAAATTAATGTGTAAATAAATACATTTTATTATAATGTTTATAAAGAAAGGTATATAATTTAAACTATACGTTTATATAATTTAAATAAAATATTTATAAATGATCCAATTGAAAAATAATTAAACAATACCTCTAAATTAGTTCTTAAAATTTCTCCTAAATGACTCCAGTCATCATTTTCATAATTAACTAAATAATAGCCGGTGGAATTAACATTAAATTTCACCCAACTATTATCAGGATCATCTAATCTTACTTGAAAGGTAACTGAAATGGAATTAAAACCTTCATTAGAATCACCAAAGATCTTTTTTGAACATTTTACATAAACATGTTTATTAATAACACTAAAAGAAATTTTCTAAATTTAATTTAAAAAATGAAAACAAAAAATAATTCGAATAAAGTTGTTTTTAATTTAATTAAATATAGATTTATATTTACTTATTAAAAATTAATATTTTATAAANAATAATAGCTGGACTTTTGTCAAAAAAATTGTTTTAACCTAGTTGGACTTTTGACAAATAACTTGGTTTTTACGGTATTAACGATTTTACAAATAACTTGGGTTTTAACAGTTGTTAATACTTTGTCGAGTAGCTGGGGTTTTAGTAATAGTTAAACCTTTGACAAATAATCATAGTGTGAATACACAGCTTAATCTTAGTTAATAATTCGATTTTTGACATTAATTGCATATTTATTTATTGACATCTCGATATTATACAATAAGACAAAAAAGAGAAATGTTTTTTTTTTTTAAGTCTAAAACGAGAACGAATCTATTCAGTTAAATGTCAGAATATTAGGCCTTTATAATTTACAACTCATTTGAAATATCCTATTTAAAAAAATAACGAAAATAAAAATTAGGATAAATTTTATCACCTTAAAAAGCGACAAATATCAGCATATGGGATCAGGTAAGATGACGATATTTAGGTCTAATTATGATGTAACTAAATTGATGTTTTTACTCGAGATATTTCCGAGATTTTTTTCTCTCTTCAACCAAAAAGCACAGAAACACGAATAAGTAGTACCATTTAGCAGGTTTGTCCTAATACATTAACATTATTTAGGTCGTAAGGAACGTATTTATCGTGATTCTAGTCGATTGCGGTCAGTAGGATGTTCACAAAAATCATCATTTGCAAATTAAAACCCGTCATCATCCATATTGTTCTTTTAAGACCTCTGCATCTTTGACACCATTCTCAACACCCTCTCGTTTCAAAAAACGCAACAGAAATTGCATAACAAGTATATTATACAGTTAAAAAAATTAAATATTAAATAATAATAACTTCTGAACACTATTATTATTTATTATATATATATCAGAACATCCGATATAATTGAAAAAAAAAATTTTTTTAGATTCGTGTCGATAACAAAAGCATGCTTTGAATCACTCCCAAAAGTAGGTTTATCGAAAGCGATATTGTAATTTAATAATAGATATCGTTAGATATTACAAAAAGATTACATTAAAAATAATATTTTTTAGATGAATAATGCTTTCAAATGTGTTACAAATACGAATTTTCATCCATTCATCTCACGCTAGTTCCATTCTTCAACACGGCGCTTTCATTGTTTGACATGAAAGAAACGTGTCAAATAATGCAAATTTTAAAATCAAAATGAAAATGTTCTGATGTAAAATTGTTTTAATTTATTAAAAAGAATAACATTAACCGTATAAAATGAATCTAGAATTGAATAAATCGATAACAAAAGCATGTTGAACCACCCCCAAAAAGTAGGTTTATTGAAAGTGATATTATATTTTAATAATAGATATTGTTAGATATTAAAAAATAATGCATTAAAAATAAAATTTTTTTAGACGAATAATAGCAGAATAAACATTTAAATGTGTTACAAACCGAGAATTTTAATCCATTCATGTCACGCTAGTTCTATTCTTTAATACATTACTTCCACGTTAAACATGAAAGTAACGTGTCAAAAAATACAAATTTTAAAAATAAAAAAAATTCCGATGTAAAAATTGTTCTAATTTACTAAATAACAACATAACACGACATCTTTATAATATAATATTTTTATTTTTAGAAACTATATTACAGAAAGAGCAATTGTTTTTTCTCACCCCAACTACCTCATAAAACTCATAACAATATTATGTATACAATAATCATAACTATTTACAGCTTGAGAATAGTCACAGGCGGTTAAATATATGGGACTTAACCTTGAAAAAAAGTGTCAGCGAACTTTTGAATTATTAAAATAGCAAAATAATTAAATTTTTCCAACTGAAATTTACATGGTTATATCAAAAATGGCATATTGTTTTACCCATAAGTGGCATGACCTGTTGGAGCTGTTTGTATATGGCGATGAAATAGTACCATGTAGCTAATTCTCGACTGACTTTTTATATATATAAAATAGTTTTTATGCCCTATTTCCGTCAAACATTATATTTTAACTAATTTATTAATAAGGAAACGTATCAATTAATTGTAAATACGTATAAAAATGTATAAGTAAAAAAAAAACGTTTTCTTTAAGTGTAAATTCAAAAAATGTACTACTTAATATAAATTATTGTTATATTTTCCATAAATAACTAATTTTAATACATTTTTTTAACTGTGGAGTATATATTTTACACGTTTAAAGCTCGAAGTAGGACATACGTAAGGGTTGCAAGTTAGCTATTCTTATGTTTGTTTAGCGCAAAACTGGCTTAGAAAACTTAATTATCTTCCTTTTTTTCCTCTATTTTTCGAATATAATTATGAATTTAAAACGAAAAATCTTACCACATTCCATTCGGGTTCGACTTCATTAACACCTTTATATTCTAAATAACTGGCAAAACCTTCGTGTAACCATAGTTCATTCCACCAATATGTTGTAACTAAATTACCGAACCACTATAAAAAAAATAAACTTTTATAAATATATTTTTAGAAATTTAAATAATTACAGTTATAAAAAAAACATAGAATATGTTATAGGGAAATATGTGTTAATTTGTAGCTATTTTTATAGTAAAAGCATTTATAAAATCATGTATAATATTCTAATAAATTCAAAAAGTTATAAAACTTTCCATTTTTAATGGCTCATGGTATGAATACAAAATAAATAAGTTGTAAGTATATTAAGTGATTCATAGAGAAAAACTAGATTTTTAAAAAGTTGACCCATTTGCAGACTATCCAGCTCCTTAGACTAGACTGCATGGAACACCTTTATGGTTCACGGACGTCATGTTTCATTGTATTACTTCCGGATTTAAGGTTATATATCTTGCTTGGCAATTAATACGTGTTTCAATGTCTTATGTTTAATAAAAAAATAATAATAATTAATTATTAATGCTGCTTAGAAAACGCCTACAATATCAATAATAACGAGCAAAAAAATGTTTAAAATTGTATATTTTTGAGCGTTATTTTTCTCCTTTAGTTTACTGAATATCAAAACACAACTGTAAATTGTCTGTAAAGTTAGTCACTCAATAAAATAAGTCTCAATGTTTAAAAACAAAAGGAAAACGAGTTATTAATTAATTAAATAACATTTATTATGCTTAAAATGCCCAAAATTGCGCAATTTTTCACTCTTTTAGTTTAGAGAATGCCCAAAATAAACTATTGTGGGTATTCCCGAAAGTAAAAACCCTAAGAAAGTCAATGATTTATGATTAAAAAAAGAAATTAATTATTAACATCAGCTTGTAGCTTTATATTATGCCAAAAATATAAACTTTTAAGCATTTTTTCTCCTTATTTACTTTAGACGATGCTTAAAATATACATAATCTGTATATAAGCTTTTATAAAATCCTGTTAAACTGCTACTGTAGCGCGCATTAAATTGAAAATGAAGCCTATATTCAGAGAAAGCAATCATAGAATCTTCTAATTGTATAACCCAGAATTCGTTGGGTTTGTAAGCAAACGTATTCTTTATATTTAAAGTTCTTCCATCGACTACACGCCATATTGATGTAGATGATATATTTAATTTGGAAGCGTGTAAAATTACAATATTTGTACTACTTTGCATCGATACTGTAATGGTTACTTCACCGGAATAATAGTTTCCTACGAGCTGTGGTCTTAATCGAAGGTCATAATGGAGTGGCCTGATGTGGGACGGTAAACGATAATCATGCCAAGGTTTATAACCTTTAGTCAACAACCACTTTTCAACAGGTGATTGATACCGATTTAACCAGCGAATGTTATTTGTTATAATTTCTAAACATTGATTTTCGGATTTTTGCCAACCAGTTGCATTTGGGTAATGTCTGAAGAATTCTTCCATCTGTAAAAAAAAAATTCTCAATTTTAATATAAATTAATTATCATATTGATCTTTTTAAAATAAATTTTATGTTGCAATTTGCATGCTTAATCTATAAAAAGGCCTTCTTCGTTCTAAACTGTTTATATAATTTCATCACTTTAGTACTTGATGTAGCTTAGTTGAAGGTACTGTACCTTCAAGTACACTTGAAGTTGATAAATACTTTAAGAATAAAATTCTACATTAGTACTTGAACTACTTGACTACTACTATTAGTACTACATTATACTTTAAGTTGAACAATATAAAGTACTGTATATAGTATATTATAGCCTATTAGTATATATTTATAAAATGTGCAATTTATAAAATAAAAAGATGTCCGAGTATATTAAAAATTATTAAAATGTAACTAAAATTAATCAAATTTTATAGTTTAATTATTTAAATTAGTATATTTTTTACAAACCTCTTCATATTCCCATTCAGTAGTAAGGTGCTTGGAGATTTTTATTAATAATTTTCCTAAATATCTTTTATTTGATGAAAATCTAAAAAAGTATACATGTATATAAAATATATTTATTTAATTAAAAAAATAATTATAATTAAACGTTGAAAATATATTTACTTTTCTGTTAAATGTCTCCAATTTGCTCTCATAAAAGTCCATAAAAATTCCCTTCCTAAGGAACTTGCAGTTAAATATGTGTACACAAAATAAGCATCTTGCATCTTAATTTTATGCTCATCCAATGTCATATCTAAATACCTTAATAACAATAAATAATGTTTTAAAAAAATTATAATTAAATTACTTATTTATATTCTATATATAGTTATATAGAGACATAATCAATAAACTTAAATATAGCTTATAATTCATGTTAAATTCTAAAAATAATAATTTGAACTATGTTAATTACCTTTTTATTAACCATGGCTCTCTAACATGAGCTAATCCATATAATAATTTACGTTTTTCGTGACTGGATCCTTCAATTAAGTAACGATTCCACATATAATTCCAATGTTCCTCCCTACCAATTTCTGACATTCCATAACGATAAATTAATGGACGGAGATTAATTGGCAATCTAAAATATATAAAGTGACATTATTGATGACATCTATGAGCCTCTCGTATGGTAATTGTACCTACTCTTCGCCACGAATCCATTCTTCAAAGCGTGAACTGGCTTCAGCTAGGCATTCTTTATACCCACTATAACATGCCAAACCCAAAATAATCGATTGCAGGAGGCTAATGATGATAAAATCTCATTGAAATCCTTAACTGTACTTATAATTAAGCATTAAGTATGTTAATTACCTTTCTGAATGAGTCGTTGTGTGATCCCATCCAAAGTGGGAGTATAGGGATTCAGTTAACTCTCGTACGTAACTCTACAAAACAAGTATTTTAAAATATTTTATATTTAATTGTCTTTTGAAGCAGATTAAAAAGAAAATAAACTACCTTACCCTTATTAATGGGTTAACATTTGTAAATTCCAATAAGCGGAACAAGGACATGAAAGCTTTAGAGGCTGTTTCCCACGGTACTGCATTATTTTCATTTTTTAAATAAAGAGCCATACTAAGTGGTATGTCATAATTTATATAGCCAGCTTCTGCTAATTCGAATGCATCGAACAATAAATTAGATCTATCAATAGCTCCAAAAACCTGATAAATAAATAAATAAAAATAGCGCTTATGAGTGATACAGAACAATGATTTTGTAATTAGAAAAGGTCATTGTCGTGGGAAGTTTTAGTGCATTGATCTGATTTAGATTAAATGTGGCTTTATAGTCGTGTTCCTTAACCTCTTTAAAGTATATTTAATTAATGAAAACACTATTTTCTATAAATATAAAAGCATACAGTAGTATTGTTATCTTACTTCTGGATCTGTCCTTAGTGCTTCTACTAAGCTTTTCCATTGTTGATTATCGTAGTTAACAATATAATATCCAGTTTGATTAATGTTAAATTTAATCCATTCGGTGCCAAATAATGGAAGGTATATATTTTCTAAGAAATAAATAAATTATTTTAAAATAACAAAGTAAATATAATTAATAATTTAATAAGTTACATACGTTTAGATTGTGCCGATAACCATTTCATCCCTGATATTCTAGATGATGTTTCGTAACTTAGAGGAATGTGCCATAATTTTCTACGGAAAAACCCACTTATAAATGTTATAAAATATAAACTTTATTGATAATTTTTATAAATTAATAAATAACTTACTTCTGCATTGTCATATTTTTTTCATATTCGATATATTTGATCATATCCGGATTTTTTAGAAATCGATTTTGAGTAATTATAAGATTATTAGGATCTTCTGGATCTTTAGTCACATTTATACAAGGAAATCCAACTTCTTTCACCCAAGTGGACATAATTTCATGTACAGTTAGGTTTGTCTACGGTAATTTACCATTGATTAATTACAGGAAAAAAATATAAAATATAAAATTTTTAAAGTATAATTAAATAATTATTTCACAGTGTTGTATTTTGAATTAAAAAAAATATTTTCATATAATTGCTTCAAAACTTTCTTGAATATTTTAAAACAATTATTGTTCAAATGGAAACAAAAATTCAATAAAAATTTTAAATAAAAATAGTTGAAATTTTAAACAATTTTACAAAAAATTCAAAGAATTAGTTATAAAAGAAGACAATTCTTTAATGATATTCTAATTTATTAAACATTTATTCATATAATTTAAATAAATGTAATTCTGTAACCATTAAAGCATATATACATTTTCATCAATTTTATGAAAAGCTTGCCATAGATCATCACTTCTAACGCTTTTGAAGGCAAATCTGTGAAGGAATTGCTGCAATAAAATACAATTTCTGTTAAAGATATCATTTAATTTCTTGTTGAAAGATAAATGGTAAATACTTACAGTCATTCCAAGACGAAAATTCTGTGGTCCAATGACATATTCTAACATTCTTAGAATAGAGGCACCCTATAACAACAAAAGAATTACGATTTTTCATGTAAAAAAAATATAATTTTCTTAAATCCTTCAACGATTATCATCACGAAAGAATTAATAACAGGAAATGACGAAATATTTCTTCACAAAGAACTTGAATTACAGAAAAAAAATTATGTAGAATAGCGTTTAATTTAAATAAATATAATTCGAAATTCACAATTTTACAATTAAAAATGTGCGGAAAGATGTTAAAAATAATTAAAATTCTCACCTTACTGTATGCAATTATATCAAAATACTTAGTTATTGATCCATTTAATTCGTAAGGTTGAATGAGTGGATGGGAATTTAAGGAAGAATCTATTTGTAGAGTAGGTTGAAGATCATCTGTAACGAACCATTCCATCTGAAATAAATGTGTTGAACGTTATAAACATTACTTTACATTTAATTTAACATAGCATCTTAATAATTTTCCCTTTGGCCCAAAAATCAGTTAACCAAGTCTATTGAAATTCAACTAAAACGGTTAAGTGAATTTTTGGTCCTCTCACTAGATTATAGTGTAATTATATTCGTATATTATTAATTTTATGGTCATTAATAAAAATTTTCTTTTTATCAAGTTGATAAAGATTAGAATTTAATAGTAATTAGAATTATCTTATTATTTAGAACTTAAGAGTGGACGTTTTGTAAGAGTTAAATCATTGAATAGAGATAATCGTTGGACTTTTGACAAATAGGATAAATCAACCGGTTTTTTTTTTCACAATGAATGGGTTTTTGACAAGTAATCATGTTTTTTAACAATAGTTGGAGCTTTGACAAATAATAGCTGGACTTTTGTCAAAAAAATTGTTTTAACCTAGTTGGACTTTTGACAAATAACTTGGTTTTTACGGTATTAACGATTTTACAAATAACTTGGGTTTTAACAGTTGTTAATACTTTGTCGAGTAGCTGGGGTTTTAGTAATAGTTAAACCTTTGACAAATAATCATAGTGTGAATACACAGCTTAATCTTAGTTAATAATTCGATTTTTGACATTAATTGCATATTTATTTATTGACATCTCGATATTATACAATAAGACAAAAAAGAGAAATGTTTTTTTTTTTTAAGTCTAAAACGAGAACGAATCTATTCAGTTAAATGTCAGAATATTAGGCCTTTATAATTTACAACTCATTTGAAATATCCTATTTAAAAAAATAACGAAAATAAAAATTAGGATAAATTTTATCACCTTAAAAAGCGACAAATATCAGCATATGGGATCAGGTAAGATGACGATATTTAGGTCTAATTATGATGTAACTAAATTGATGTTTTTACTCGAGATATTTCCGAGATTTTTTTCTCTCTTCAACCAAAAAGCACAGAAACACGAATAAGTAGTACCATTTAGCAGGTTTGTCCTAATACATTAACATTATTTAGGTCGTAAGGAACGTATTTATCGTGATTCTAGTCGATTGCGGTCAGTAGGATGTTCACAAAAATCATCATTTGCAAATTAAAACCCGTCATCATCCATATTGTTCTTTTAAGACCTCTGCATCTTTGACACCATTCTCAACACCCTCTCGTTTCAAAAAACGCAACAGAAATTGCATAACAAGTATATTATACAGTTAAAAAAATTAAATATTAAATAATAATAACTTCTGAACACTATTATTATTTATTATATATATATCAGAACATCCGATATAATTGAAAAAAAAATTTTTTAGATTCGTGTCGATAACAAAAGCATGCTTTGAATCACTCCCAAAAGTAGGTTTATCGAAAGCGATATTGTAATTTAATAATAGATATCGTTAGATATTACAAAAAGATTACATTAAAAATAATATTTTTTAGATGAATAATGCTTTCAAATGTGTTACAAATACGAATTTTCATCCATTCATCTCACGCTAGTTCCATTCTTCAACACGGCGCTTTCATTGTTTGACATGAAAGAAACGTGTCAAATAATGCAAATTTTAAAATCAAAATGAAAATGTTCTGATGTAAAATTGTTTTAATTTATTAAAAAGAATAACATTAACCGTATAAAATGAATCTAGAATTGAATAAATCGATAACAAAAGCATGTTGAACCACCCCCAAAAAGTAGGTTTATTGAAAGTGATATTATATTTTAATAATAGATATTGTTAGATATTAAAAAATAATGCATTAAAAATAAAATTTTTTTAGACGAATAATAGCAGAATAAACATTTAAATGTGTTACAAACCGAGAATTTTAATCCATTCATGTCACGCTAGTTCTATTCTTTAATACATTACTTCCACGTTAAACATGAAAGTAACGTGTCAAAAAATACAAATTTTAAAAATAAAAAAAATTCCGATGTAAAAATTGTTCTAATTTACTAAATAACAACATAACACGACATCTTTATAATATAATATTTTTATTTTTAGAAACTATATTACAGAAAGAGCAATTGTTTTTTCTCACCCCAACTACCTCATAAAACTCATAACAATATTATGTATACAATAATCATAACTATTTACAGCTTGAGAATAGTCACAGGCGGTTAAATATATGGGACTTAACCTTGAAAAAAAGTGTCAGCGAACTTTTGAATTATTAAAATAGCAAAATAATTAAATTTTTCCAACTGAAATTTACATGGTTATATCAAAAATGGCATATTGTTTTACCCATAAGTGGCATGACCTGTTGGAGCTGTTTGTATATGGCGATGAAATAGTACCATGTAGCTAATTCTCGACTGACTTTTTATATATATAAAATAGTTTTTATGCCCTATTTCCGTCAAACATTATATTTTAACTAATTTATTAATAAGGAAACGTATCAATTAATTGTAAATACGTATAAAAATGTATAAGTAAAAAAAAAACGTTTTCTTTAAGTGTAAATTCAAAAAATGTACTACTTAATATAAATTATTGTTATATTTTCCATAAATAACTAATTTTAATACATTTTTTTAACTGTGGAGTATATATTTTACACGTTTAAAGCTCGAAGTAGGACATACGTAAGGGTTGCAAGTTAGCTATTCTTATGTTTGTTTAGCGCAAAACTGGCTTAGAAAACTTAATTATCTTCCTTTTTTTCCTCTATTTTTCGAATATAATTATGAATTTAAAACGAAAAATCTTACCACATTCCATTCGGGTTCGACTTCATTAACACCTTTATATTCTAAATAACTGGCAAAACCTTCGTGTAACCATAGTTCATTCCACCAATATGTTGTAACTAAATTACCGAACCACTATAAAAAAAATAAACTTTTATAAATATATTTTTAGAAATTTAAATAATTACAGTTATAAAAAAAACATAGAATATGTTATAGGGAAATATGTGTTAATTTGTAGCTATTTTTATAGTAAAAGCATTTATAAAATCATGTATAATATTCTAATAAATTCAAAAAGTTATAAAACTTTCCATTTTTAATGGCTCATGGTATGAATACAAAATAAATAAGTTGTAAGTATATTAAGTGATTCATAGAGAAAAACTAGATTTTTAAAAAGTTGACCCATTTGCAGACTATCCAGCTCCTTAGACTAGACTGCATGGAACACCTTTATGGTTCACGGACGTCATGTTTCATTGTATTACTTCCGGATTTAAGGTTATATATCTTGCTTGGCAATTAATACGTGTTTCAATGTCTTATGTTTAATAAAAAAATAATAATAATTAATTATTAATGCTGCTTAGAAAACGCCTACAATATCAATAATAACGAGCAAAAAAATGTTTAAAATTGTATATTTTTGAGCGTTATTTTTCTCCTTTAGTTTACTGAATATCAAAACACAACTGTAAATTGTCTGTAAAGTTAGTCACTCAATAAAATAAGTCTCAATGTTTAAAAACAAAAGGAAAACGAGTTATTAATTAATTAAATAACATTTATTATGCTTAAAATGCCCAAAATTGCGCAATTTTTCACTCTTTTAGTTTAGAGAATGCCCAAAATAAACTATTGTGGGTATTCCCGAAAGTAAAAACCCTAAGAAAGTCAATGATTTATGATTAAAAAAAGAAATTAATTATTAACATCAGCTTGTAGCTTTATATTATGCCAAAAATATAAACTTTTAAGCATTTTTTCTCCTTATTTACTTTAGACGATGCTTAAAATATACATTTGTGGGTATTCCCTAAAATAAAAGTCCCTAATAAAATGAGTGCATCAATGTTTTATGTTTAAAAAAAGGGGAAATTAATTATTAATATTGAGCATAATATAGATGTATAATGCCCAAAATAAGATTATTATTAATGTCACTTTAGAAGGCCATAGCTCTTCATTATGCCTAAAAATATAAAATTTTAAGCATTTGTTTGCTTATTTACTTTAGCGAATGCCTGAAATATACAAATGTGGGCATTCCTGAAATAAAAACCCGCAATAATAATCTATTTTTAGAAGAAGTATAATTGACATTTTTAGAAATTTACAATCAGGAAGAATATTTTAACGTGTGGACTCGAATATAATTTCTAAAATAATGCGATTGAAAACTTGGCAACGTCTATAAAGATTTCTTAGAAAAATTTTGATAAATACAAACGTTTAATTGGTTGTTTATTATTCTAAGAATGGTATCATTTAAAGTGATTGTGATTATTCAACTATTACTACAAAATAAAGCAAAAAGCATAAAAGATATTTTTGGAATCATCTGATCATTAAAAGCGATAATTAATATAAAATCTCTGCCCTGTTTTCTTTGACCTACTTTTTAAAGATAGCCTTCATTTTGAGCAAGTGTATGTCTTACAGGTAGGCGAACTTCACCTTGAGTAAACAATAGGAGTTATAAAGGGCACACGATGTTATGATTTCGAACCATTATATCATTCCGTTTGTTTCAACTACAAAATGATCCAAATTGCCAAAAAACATGCGAGTTCATTGGCTTTTTAACATAGTATATTGAGAACCTATCGAAGGAGATGTCGTGTAAAGTCGAAAAGGTCATAAAAATTCATTTTATAAATAAAATTTCTATCGTTTAATTTCAATTTTTCGTAACAAAATTTAATCANCTTACTCTTGTGCCTCCTTCAGTATAACTTTCTCTATATACAAAATCACATATAACGAAACAAACAAGGTAAGTTGCCATTGGAACCGATTTTTGAAACTTTGTAAGAATTTGTCCATCATCTAATTCTTCCATTTCCTTTTTTAAATGAAAAACACAATTAAAAAAATTCTATAAATAAAATGTATAAATTACAGTAAAAAAGGGGTCAAACTTAGTTGCATCATCTAACCTTAGCTGGCATATTTGATAATGCTATATATTTCGGATCATGATATATCGATATAGAAAAGGTTGATTTAAAAGTAGGTTCATCAAAGCTTGGAAATACAGTTCTTGCGTAAATTGGGTGGAATTGGGACACAACCAGAGTTCTGTTAGAAATAAAATTTGAGATTTTATCAGCATACTCAACCGGAAACCGAAGAGTTGTAAGTCAACGATAAACATGTCACACTCCACTTCTATTCTAGCGATATGACCTCAAACAGTTCCAATATTAGTATTTGTACTACTAATATCATAACTTTACAATAATACACTTACTAAATCTACTCATGTTATATTTATACTAAACAATACAACTAACATATGTCATACTTACTTAGTTTCGCCAGTACGAAAATCTGTATATAAGCTTTTATAAAATCCTGTTAAACTGCTACTGTAGCGCGCATTAAATTGAAAATGAAGCCTATATTCGGAGAAAGCAATCATAGAATCTTCTAATTGTATAACCCAGAATTCGTTGGGTTTGTAAGCAAACGTATTCTTTATATTTAAAGTTCTTCCATCGACTACACGCCATATTGATGTAGATGATATATTTAATTTGGAAGCGTGTAAAATTACAATATTTGTACTACTTTGCATCGATACTGTAATGGTTACTTCACCGGAATAATAGTTTCCTACGAGCTGTGGTCTTAATCGAAGGTCATAATGGAGTGGCCTGATGTGGGACGGTAAACGATAATCATGCCAAGGTTTATAACCTTTAGTCAACAACCACTTTTCAACAGGTGATTGATACCGATTTAACCAGCGAATGTTATTTGTTATAATTTCTAAACATTGATTTTCGGATTTTTGCCAACCAGTTGCATTTGGGTAATGTCTGAAGAATTCTTCCATCTGTAAAAAAAAAAAAAAAAGAAAATTTTCAATTTTAGTATAAATTAATTGTCATATTGATCTTTTTAAAATAAATTTTATGTTGCAATTTGCATGCTTAATCTATAAAAAGGCCTTCTTCGTTCTAAACTGTTTATATAATTTCATCACTTTAGTACTTGATGTAGCTTAGTTGAAGGTACTGTACCTTCAAGTACACTTGAAGTTGATAAATACTTTAAGAATAAAATTCTACATTAGTACTTGAACTACTTGACTACTACTGTTAGTACTACATTATACTTTAAGTTGAACAATATAAAGTACTGTATATAGTATATTATAGCCTATTAGTATATATTTATAAAATGTGCAATTTATAAAATAAAAAGATGTCCGAGTATATTAAAAATTATTAAAATGTAACTAAAATTAATCAAATTTTATAGTTTAATTATTTAAATTAGTATATTTTTTACAAACCTCTTCATATTCCCATTCAGTAGTAAGGTGCTTGGAGATTTTTATTAATAATTTTCCTAAATATCTTTTATTTGATGAAAATCTAAAAAAGTATACATGTATATAAAATATATTTATTTAATTAAAAAAATAATTATAATTAAACGTTGAAAATATATTTACTTTTCTGTTAAATGTCTCCAATTTGCTCTCATAAAAGTCCATAAAAATTCCCTTCCTAAGGAACTTGCAGTTAAATATGTGTACACAAAATAAGCATCTTGCATCTTAATTTTATGCTCATCCAATGTCATATCTAAATACCTTAATAACAATAAATAATGTTTTAAAAAAATTATAATTAAATTACTTATTTATATTCTATATATAGTTATATAGAGACATAATCAATAAACTTAAATATAGCTTATAATTCATGTTAAATTCTAAAAATAATAATTTGAACTATGTTAATTACCTTTTTATTAACCATGGCTCTCTAACATGAGCTAATCCATATAATAATTTACGTTTTTCGTGACTGGATCCTTCAATTAAGTAACGATTCCACATATAATTCCAATGTTCCTCCCTACCAATTTCTGACATTCCATAACGATAAATTAATGGACGGAGATTAATTGGCAATCTAAAATATATAAAGTGACATTATTGATGACATCTATGAGCCTCTCGTATGGTAATTGTACCTACTCTTCGCCACGAATCCATTCTTCAAAGCGTGAACTGGCTTCAGCTAGGCATTCTTTATACCCACTATAACATGCCAAACCCAAAATAATCGATTGCAGGAGGCTAATGATGATAAAATCTCATTGAAATCCTTAACTGTACTTATAATTAAGCATTAAGTATGTTAATTACCTTTCTGAATGAGTCGTTGTGTGATCCCATCCAAAGTGGGAGTATAGGGATTCAGTTAACTCTCGTACGTAACTCTACAAAACAAGTATTTTAAAATATTTTATATTTAATTGTCTTTTGAAGCAGATTAAAAAGAAAATAAACTACCTTACCCTTATTAATGGGTTAACATTTGTAAATTCCAATAAGCGGAACAAGGACATGAAAGCTTTAGAGGCTGTTTCCCACGGTACTGCATTATTTTCATTTTTTAAATAAAGAGCCATACTAAGTGGTATGTCATAATTTATATAGCCAGCTTCTGCTAATTCGAATGCATCGAACAATAAATTAGATCTATCAATAGCTCCAAAAACCTGATAAATAAATAAATAAAAATAGCGCTTATGAGTGATACAGAACAATGATTTTGTAATTAGAAAAGGTCATTGTCGTGGGAAGTTTTAGTGCATTGATCTGATTTAGATTAAATGTGGCTTTATAGTCGTGTTCCTTAACCTCTTTAAAGTATATTTAATTAATGAAAACACTATTTTCTATAAATATAAAAGCATACAGTAGTATTGTTATCTTACTTCTGGATCTGTCCTTAGTGCTTCTACTAAGCTTTTCCATTGTTGATTATCGTAGTTAACAATATAATATCCAGTTTGATTAATGTTAAATTTAATCCATTCGGTGCCAAATAATGGAAGGTATATATTTTCTAAGAAATAAATAAATTATTTTAAAATAACAAAGTAAATATAATTAATAATTTAATAAGTTACATACGTTTAGATTGTGCCGATAACCATTTCATCCCTGATATTCTAGATGATGTTTCGTAACTTAGAGGAATGTGCCATAATTTTCTACGGAAAAACCCACTTATAAATGTTATAAAATATAAACTTTATTGATAATTTTTATAAATTAATAAATAACTTACTTCTGCATTGTCATATTTTTTTCATATTCGATATATTTGATCATATCCGGATTTTTTAGAAATCGATTTTGAGTAATTATAAGATTATTAGGATCTTCTGGATCTTTAGTCACATTTATACAAGGAAATCCAACTTCTTTCACCCAAGTGGACATAATTTCATGTACAGTTAGGTTTGTCTACGGTAATTTACCATTGATTAATTACAGGAAAAAAATATAAAATATAAAATTTTTAAAGTATAATTAAATAATTATTTCACAGTGTTGTATTTTGAATTAAAAAAAATATTTTCATATAATTGCTTCAAAACTTTCTTGAATATTTTAAAACAATTATTGTTCAAATGGAAACAAAAATTCAATAAAAATTTTAAATAAAAATAGTTGAAATTTTAAACAATTTTACAAAAAATTCAAAGAATTAGTTATAAAAGAAGACAATTCTTTAATGATATTCTAATTTATTAAACATTTATTCATATAATTTAAATAAATGTAATTCTGTAACCATTAAAGCATATATACATTTTCATCAATTTTATGAAAAGCTTGCCATAGATCATCACTTCTAACGCTTTTGAAGGCAAATCTGTGAAGGAATTGCTGCAATAAAATACAATTTCTGTTAAAGATATCATTTAATTTCTTGTTGAAAGATAAATGGTAAATACTTACAGTCATTCCAAGACGAAAATTCTGTGGTCCAATGACATATTCTAACATTCTTAGAATAGAGGCACCCTATAACAACAAAAGAATTACGATTTTTCATGTAAAAAAAATATAATTTTCTTAAATCCTTCAACGATTATCATCACGAAAGAATTAATAACAGGAAATGACGAAATATTTCTTCACAAAGAACTTGAATTACAGAAAAAAAATTATGTAGAATAGCGTTTAATTTAAATAAATATAATTCGAAATTCACAATTTTACAATTAAAAATGTGCGGAAAGATGTTAAAAATAATTAAAATTCTCACCTTACTGTATGCAATTATATCAAAATACTTAGTTATTGATCCATTTAATTCGTAAGGTTGAATGAGTGGATGGGAATTTAAGGAAGAATCTATTTGTAGAGTAGGTTGAAGATCATCTGTAACGAACCATTCCATCTGAAATAAATGTGTTGAACGTTATAAACATTACTTTACATTTAATTTAACATAGCATCTTAATAATTTTCCCTTTGGCCCAAAAATCAGTTAACCAAGTCTATTGAAATTCAACTAAAACGGTTAAGTGAATTTTTGGTCCTCTCACTAGATTATAGTGTAATTATATTCGTATATTATTAATTTTATGGTCATTAATAAAAATTTTCTTTTTATCAAGTTGATAAAGATTAGAATTTAATAGTAATTAGAATTATCTTATTATTTAGAACTTAAGAGTGGACGTTTTGTAAGAGTTAAATCATTGAATAGAGATAATCGTTGGACTTTTGACAAATAGGATAAATCAACCGGTTTTTTTTTCACAATGAATGGGTTTTTGACAAGTAATCATGTTTTTTAACAATAGTTGGAGCTTTGACAAATAATAGCTGGACTTTTGTCAAAAAAATTGTTTTAACCTAGTTGGACTTTTGACAAATAACTTGGTTTTTACGGTATTAACGATTTTACAAATAACTTGGGTTTTAACAGTTGTTAATACTTTGTCGAGTAGCTGGGGTTTTAGTAATAGTTAAACCTTTGACAAATAATCATAGTGTGAATACACAGCTTAATCTTAGTTAATAATTCGATTTTTGACATTAATTGCATATTTATTTATTGACATCTCGATATTATACAATAAGACAAAAAAGAGAAATTTTTTTTTTTTTAAGTCTAAAACGAGAACGAATCTATTCAGTTAAATGTCAGAATATTAGGCCTTTATAATTTACAACTCATTTGAAATATCCTATTTAAAAAAATAACGAAAATAAAAATTAGGATAAATTTTATCACCTTAAAAAGCGACAAATATCAGCATATGGGATCAGGTAAGATGACGATATTTAGGTCTAATTATGATGTAACTAAATTGATGTTTTTACTCGAGATATTTCCGAGATTTTTTTCTCTCTTCAACCAAAAAGCACAGAAACACGAATAAGTAGTACCATTTAGCAGGTTTGTCCTAATACATTAACATTATTTAGGTCGTAAGGAACGTATTTATCGTGATTCTAGTCGATTGCGGTCAGTAGGATGTTCACAAAAATCATCATTTGCAAATTAAAACCCGTCATCATCCATATTGTTCTTTTAAGACCTCTGCATCTTTGACACCATTCTCAACACCCTCTCGTTTCAAAAAACGCAACAGAAATTGCATAACAAGTATATTATACAGTTAAAAAAATTAAATATTAAATAATAATAACTTCTGAACACTATTATTATTTATTATATATATATCAGAACATCCGATATAATTGAAAAAAAAAATTTTTTTAGATTCGTGTCGATAACAAAAGCATGCTTTGAATCACTCCCAAAAGTAGGTTTATCGAAAGCGATATTGTAATTTAATAATAGATATCGTTAGATATTACAAAAAGATTACATTAAAAATAATATTTTTTAGATGAATAATGCTTTCAAATGTGTTACAAATACGAATTTTCATCCATTCATCTCACGCTAGTTCCATTCTTCAACACGGCGCTTTCATTGTTTGACATGAAAGAAACGTGTCAAATAATGCAAATTTTAAAATCAAAATGAAAATGTTCTGATGTAAAATTGTTTTAATTTATTAAAAAGAATAACATTAACCGTATAAAATGAATCTAGAATTGAATAAATCGATAACAAAAGCATGTTGAACCACCCCCAAAAAGTAGGTTTATTGAAAGTGATATTATATTTTAATAATAGATATTGTTAGATATTAAAAAATAATGCATTAAAAATAAAATTTTTTTAGACGAATAATAGCAGAATAAACATTTAAATGTGTTACAAACCGAGAATTTTAATCCATTCATGTCACGCTAGTTCTATTCTTTAATACATTACTTCCACGTTAAACATGAAAGTAACGTGTCAAAAAATACAAATTTTAAAAATAAAAAAAATTCCGATGTAAAAATTGTTCTAATTTACTAAATAACAACATAACACGACATCTTTATAATATAATATTTTTATTTTTAGAAACTATATTACAGAAAGAGCAATTGTTTTTTCTCACCCCAACTACCTCATAAAACTCATAACAATATTATGTATACAATAATCATAACTATTTACAGCTTGAGAATAGTCACAGGCGGTTAAATATATGGGACTTAACCTTGAAAAAAAGTGTCAGCGAACTTTTGAATTATTAAAATAGCAAAATAATTAAATTTTTCCAACTGAAATTTACATGGTTATATCAAAAATGGCATATTGTTTTACCCATAAGTGGCATGACCTGTTGGAGCTGTTTGTATATGGCGATGAAATAGTACCATGTAGCTAATTCTCGACTGACTTTTTATATATATAAAATAGTTTTTATGCCCTATTTCCGTCAAACATTATATTTTAACTAATTTATTAATAAGGAAACGTATCAATTAATTGTAAATACGTATAAAAATGTATAAGTAAAAAAAAAACGTTTTCTTTAAGTGTAAATTCAAAAAATGTACTACTTAATATAAATTATTGTTATATTTTCCATAAATAACTAATTTTAATACATTTTTTTAACTGTGGAGTATATATTTTACACGTTTAAAGCTCGAAGTAGGACATACGTAAGGGTTGCAAGTTAGCTATTCTTATGTTTGTTTAGCGCAAAACTGGCTTAGAAAACTTAATTATCTTCCTTTTTTTCCTCTATTTTTCGAATATAATTATGAATTTAAAACGAAAAATCTTACCACATTCCATTCGGGTTCGACTTCATTAACACCTTTATATTCTAAATAACTGGCAAAACCTTCGTGTAACCATAGTTCATTCCACCAATATGTTGTAACTAAATTACCGAACCACTATAAAAAAAATAAACTTTTATAAATATATTTTTAGAAATTTAAATAATTACAGTTATAAAAAAAACATAGAATATGTTATAGGGAAATATGTGTTAATTTGTAGCTATTTTTATAGTAAAAGCATTTATAAAATCATGTATAATATTCTAATAAATTCAAAAAGTTATAAAACTTTCCATTTTTAATGGCTCATGGTATGAATACAAAATAAATAAGTTGTAAGTATATTAAGTGATTCATAGAGAAAAACTAGATTTTTAAAAAGTTGACCCATTTGCAGACTATCCAGCTCCTTAGACTAGACTGCATGGAACACCTTTATGGTTCACGGACGTCATGTTTCATTGTATTACTTCCGGATTTAAGGTTATATATCTTGCTTGGCAATTAATACGTGTTTCAATGTCTTATGTTTAATAAAAAAATAATAATAATTAATTATTAATGCTGCTTAGAAAACGCCTACAATATCAATAATAACGAGCAAAAAAATGTTTAAAATTGTATATTTTTGAGCGTTATTTTTCTCCTTTAGTTTACTGAATATCAAAACACAACTGTAAATTGTCTGTAAAGTTAGTCACTCAATAAAATAAGTCTCAATGTTTAAAAACAAAAGGAAAACGAGTTATTAATTAATTAAATAACATTTATTATGCTTAAAATGCCCAAAATTGCGCAATTTTTCACTCTTTTAGTTTAGAGAATGCCCAAAATAAACTATTGTGGGTATTCCCGAAAGTAAAAACCCTAAGAAAGTCAATGATTTATGATTAAAAAAAGAAATTAATTATTAACATCAGCTTGTAGCTTTATATTATGCCAAAATTATAAACTTTTAAGCATTTTTTCTCCTTATTTACTTTAGACGATGCTTAAAATATACATTTGTGGGTATTCCCTAAAATAAAAGTCCCTAATAAAATGAGTGCATCAATGTTTTATGTTTAAAAAAAGGGGAAATTAATTATTAATATTGAGCATAATATAGATGTATAATGCCCAAAATAAGATTATTATTAATGTCACTTTAGAAGGCCATAGCTCTTCATTATGCCTAAAAATATAAAATTTTAAGCATTTGTTTGCTTATTTACTTTAGCGAATGCCTGAAATATACAAATGTGGGCATTCCTGAAATAAAAACCCGCAATAATAATCTATTTTTAGAAGAAGTATAATTGACATTTTTAGAAATTTACAATCAGGAAGAATATTTTAACGTGTGGACTCGAATATAATTTCTAAAATAATGCGATTGAAAACTTGGCAACGTCTATAAAGATTTCTTAGAAAAATTTTGATAAATACAAACGTTTAATTGGTTGTTTATTATTCTAAGAATGGTATCATTTAAAGTGATTGTGATTATTCAACTATTACTACAAAATAAAGCAAAAAGCATAAAAGATATTTTTGGAATCATCTGATCATTAAAAGCGATAATTAATATAAAATCTCTGCCCTGTTTTCTTTGACCTACTTTTTAAAGATAGCCTTCATTTTGAGCAAGTGTATGTCTTACAGGTAGGCGAACTTCACCTTGAGTAAACAATAGGAGTTATAAAGGGCACACGATGTTATGATTTCGAACCATTATATCATTCCGTTTGTTTCAACTACAAAATGATCCAAATTGCCAAAAAACATGCGAGTTCATTGGCTTTTTAACATAGTATATTGAGAACCTATCGAAGGAGATGTCGTGTAAAGTCGAAAAGGTCATAAAAATTCATTTTATAAATAAAATTTCTATCGTTTAATTTCAATTTTTCGTAACAAAATTTAATCATAAATATTCTTTGATATAAAATTTTTTAAAAATGAGGATATTAACTAATAATTTTAATACAGAAATTTAATATTTTTAATCAATTTAAATCGAATTCTCTCAAATTCCTTTTAACATTTGACTAATAAATAAAGGAGGTGTAATGTGCAAAATCAGAGCATGAAATTATTTAAAATATTTTAATATATAAAATATTTAAACATTATATATAAGTGTATTCAGTTCAATTATATATTTTTATATCAAGATAAAAGTATTACTTTTTAGAATAACCGCTTTAAACAATGCATTTTAGTACAAAAAAGCAGTAATTTTGTGTGACTCATAAACATTTAGATTATTTGATGTTTATGTGGGAGAAAATGGAATAAAAAAAACAGCAATTTTAAGCAAATAAAACTACCTACTTTCAAAATTACTTTTGTTCTAGAATTAAAGTTTAAAATTAAATTTGGACAGAACATTTTATATTGCAAAATCTATGTTAGTCTATACAAAAAAAACAACCCAATTCACGTCGAATTTAATTCAAATGGTTCAGTTTTCGATAATAATTTCAAAAAATTGCGAAAAACTTTAATTCGTAACAGTTAAAACTAAATCAGAATAAATTTTATCGCATATAATGTGCATATCCAACCTGTTTCCGCTTAAGACTTGATATGCTAATTGACTTAAGGCTGATTTATATGTTGTCCAAGGATACTGGAATCGAATTAACGTAATTTCCAAGTACTAGATACAAGTAAAATTTTGGATATTGACAATAATTTGGAATTAAACCAAATTACAGATTTACAGATATTTCACATAAAATTAGTTGGCACTACATTTACAATGCGGCGATAACAAAGATTTATTGAAGAGGAAATTCACACATTATTTAGGTTTAAATGAAAGGGAATGAGAGAGAAAAGTCATATAATTAAATTTTAAATAACCAAAAAGTATAATAGATCAACCTTCGTTTTAAATTTTAGTAGTAAAGAACAAAACAATAGAATCATTGGTGCATATTAGTATTATATTCGATGAGAAAATTCGTAAATGACCCAATTCTTTCTATCACTTACTGTTCCGTATAACTCACGAATAGTATAGGGAGTCATTCACTGTATATGGGACAGATATCTTCTCAAAATCGACATGGAAGTTTAGAAGTCAACGGACTTAACTATCCCAACCCGAACAAAAGTATTGTAATTGGTGATTCAGGCAGAAAATATATCCTGTTTGTGTTACATGCGAATGTTTATTGCAATAATATAAAAGATTTTGTCACTCACCAACATAGTTTGTGAATTATTTTTTTATAAAATTATCACCCCAGTTACCAACAAACCATGTTGGTTGGTAACTGGGGTGATAATTTTATAAAAAAAAATAATTAAGAAAAATGTTAAGAGAAATCCTTAAGAAGAAGTGAAATTACCATGTGTGCTAATTCGTGCGCTATTATTTCTGCTATTCTCTCTTTATTTTCTAAACTCGATTCGGAATCATCAAATAATATATTTGACTCTCTATATGTAACCAAGCCCCAATGTTCCATAGCCTCCGAAGCCAAATATGGGACAGCAACCATGTCTGAAAAACACAGGAAAAAAAAAATCAATAAATCTCAATCAAAAAATTCAATAAAAATCAATAAATCTTACCCTGTTTAGTGAGTGGATACGTAAAATTTAAATAAGTTTCAAAGAAATGAAGTACTCTTGAACCAATACGTAAAGCATATTTAGTTTTGTGCACTTTATCAGGACTAGAATAAATTCGTATCTAAAATAAAACAATTCCAGCATAAATTTACCATTAAAAACATATTTTCATTTAATAATAATAATAAAAAAACTTCGATTACCTCCGTTCCTCTTGGAGTTTTAGTTGATGTATAATTAAAATCACAGACCATAATAGAAACTAGATAAGTGACCATAGGAACCGATTTATGGAATTTTGTAATTGTAATTCCGAATTGATCAGCAAATGGTTTAATTTCCTACAAATATAATAATGTTTTTTTAAAACAATTTAATCGTTTTTAATTATAAAAAATATATATATATTTAATTACCTGTACAGGCATATTTGATAGTGCTGTATAATCTGAATCATGTATAACCGTCACTGTAAATGTAGATTTAAATTTCGGTTCATCGAAACAAGGAAACGCTCTACGTGCATAGGTAGGTTGAAATTTAGAGGCTACTAAATATCTAAAAGGAAAAAAAAGAAAGATAATAAAAAAATTTTATAGTTTAATTTAACGAATTGAAAAATATCATTTATTACTTTCTACATTTAATGATTTACCTTCTCTTACAAGATAAAAAAAATATATATATAAGATCTATTACTATTGCATTATTTCGAATTTGAGGAGCATCCTGACTTTTAAAAGGAAATTTTTCAGGAATAAATTGAACTAAATATAGTTTAAATAAGATTATTAAAGAGTAAAATTATTAATAAAGTATATTTAACAGAAGAAAACTAAATAAATAAATAATGCTAACTTAGAAAGACGTTTAAAGGATGACAAATTAATTGAAAACGTGTTGAAAGATTTCAAACAAATTTTCAATTAATTTAAAATATTTTAAAATAATTTATTAAAGTATAAATCCATTAATAAATAATATATGCAAAGTAAACAGAGAAGACAAGAAAGACCTTTGAAGAGTGACACTGATTTTAAGAAGCACTCCGACTTCTAAGTCACTTTTCAGGAAAACATAAAATGATAATTAGAAGCAAATATAATTTTTTAAAGTTTTTTAAATTAATTAATTATTTAAATTAAAATATAATTAAGTGAAATATTAAATAAACAGAGAATAATACTAGAAAATCTCGCAGAATGACGAAAAATATTTAATACATTCGAATATGTTACTATTATATATTATTATATAACAAAATATTACTCATTTATTTACTAAAAATTGTAAATAAATTATAAAATTTCTATGTACGGAAATATATTACGTAAATCGTTTCTTTTTAATGTTATCATTATTATACGAATTTATATCATTTAATGTTTATAAATATTGTGAAAAATTGGGAGATGTCAAGGTGAATGAGGTTCTCCTTTTCTGAATAAATAAATTAAATTAGTCATCTTGTTTTATTAAATTTCTATTCGTTTCTGTTTTATATCTTCAATAAATAAATGTAATTTATTTATTTTTTTTGTATGAATTGTAAATTTAATATTTTTAATTTTAAAAACAAGTTGACTCAGCTGCGATTTCCATACATTTATTTATATTATAATATTTAAAACTGCTAGATTCTCTTATTTTATTCTCTTATTTTATTCTTCTTATTTTATATCACATCTATACGTTCGTACGTCTGTTCTTTCTTTAAAAGTTTCGAGTTTCTATAGCAGTTTTATCGCAGATTATCAGATTTATACGGCTAAAAAAACCGGGCAGACATTAAATTTCTCGATATTTATCAAATGTATACGAACTGACAAACAGACATGCTCAATTTCCTTTAAAGTTTCGAGTTTCAAAATCAGTTCTATTGATATTTATTAAATATATAAATATTTTTTTATTTACTGTTATTATTATTAAATTTAAATTAACAAACTACTAACATAAACTATTTATAACAATATAAATAAATAATAATCATAATAATAATAATAATAATAAATTTCTTAATCCTTTTCTTTTAAATCTGAATATAAATTTATAAAGTAGGAAATTATAAATAAAATATTGTTGTTATTAACATATTTATGATTAAAAGGTAAGGATTAATGGATAAACATGTTTATTTTTTCCATTTAAATTTCGTCTATATTATTAGTTTTTCGGTTTGTCTGTTTATCGATATGTAAATTATATTATAGTCTTAAATAGTCGGTCAGTTTGTCTGTTCGTTTGTCGTATATATAAACTATTACATTAAAATTTATTTTAAAAGTCCAATAATAATTAAATATTCTATACGTGTTTTTAAAATAAAATCATTTAAATTCTAATTTGATTGATTTTGTTAATGCTATAAAGTTGGTCAAATATTTAGATAAGTAGATTAATATGGGCGTATTATATGCAATGCAAGTTTGAAGTTAAGCAATTTTATAGTGTTTTTACACTAAAAATTATATTTAAATCAATAAAAAATAACTTTCTAATTTATTTTTACTAAAGGAAAGTATACGAAACAAATAGAATACATGAATAATTGATGTAAAAAATTATGCAAAATTTATTCGTATTTTTCCTGTAATGTAAAATTTTCAATAATTTAATTTATATTATTTATAAATTATAAAATATTTTATTTCATTATTAAACTAAATTCATAAATAAATTATTTAAAATACATTTTTTATTATTTTTTAAATGTAAATACTGAAATATTTGTGAAAATTAGCAATTTTCTGCATCGATAATAACGTTAAAAATACAATTTGTTTTTGTATTTCCTTGAATAAATATTTTATAATTTTTATATAATAAAAATAATTCATTTTAGATTAGAGGAATTAATGAAATTTATAATAAATAAATGTAAATTTTATGATATATTTAAAAATTAAAGATATAAATTCCATTTTTAAATATATTTTCTCTGTAGATTTATATTTATTACATTA